TTAAACTTTTTCTCTCCTCACAACTGTGAGGGAGACCTTAGCTTTGTTGCAAAATTAATCTTCAAGGATGATTAACAATGAGTACAATATCTTGTACTGATCGCTGAAGGCCACTTAATCACCATTCCAAAACAATTGGAACATTACCTAGATACTTGAGCAGGTAAATTATAAAATACAATATTGAATGATAACTTGAATTTCTCTACATTACTGTATTAACAGCAAGATGGAGTCTTGGAGCACAGAGAGGGTGAATTGTGAGACCAGCCTCTTGCTGGCGACCTGACCTATGGCTGGTGTTGCCAGTCCTTACATGAGTTGTCTGCCCTTGCCCTAAAAGGAGATTTGATTCTTTATTCATAAATGACGTTAAAGGGGCATATCGATGTAAAATTAAAAGTGGTTCAATTTGCTTATACATTTTTTTATGAAATGGTTATAGAAAGGGCTGCAGCTGGTCCAAGTTTCATCATCACACCCTAAACAGAAACGGAGAAAAAAAATAAACAACGAATTATGCAACGAATTTTCAAATAGTTTCAGGGAACACTTGTGTCAACTAAAATCATTTCTATAACACTCAGATATTAAATTAAGCACATAATAAAGGATTCTAGTGATCAGTTTTATCAAAAAAGTGTTTAGTGCAATAATATAATTTTTCAAAGTTACCCTACTAAAAAAATATGCAATATATGATATTTATAAATTTTTATAAAATCAGCAAATAGACTTTGGACTAAAATGTCTACTAGAGTCTGTAGAAGCACAAACGCTACATATAAGGTGTAATTTGCATGTAAATTGATTAATAAATGAAAGCTCTGAAGTAATTTGAAGGTGTAAATTACTTTCCAGAGTAAAATAAAGATCCAAGTTCGGCCACCTGTAGCTGAGCTTGACTTCGACAGATTTCGTTCATAATTGGCACCCTTACAGATAGGCATCCATTGAGCAAGGTGTGCAAGTTTCATGCAAATCCCTTGATAACAAACGAGAAAAAAAAATTGGCAAAAAAAAAAAAAAAATAAAATAAAAAGAAAAAAAAATTTAAATATAAATATATTGAGCATACATATTACAATTATTACAAGAGTTTGTGCTTCTACAGCACATAGTAGACATTTTAGTTGACACATGTGTTCCCTGAGATTATTTGAGAATGTTGAACATTCGTTGCATAATACGTTGTGTATTTTTTTTCTCCTTTTCTGTTTAGGGTGTGATGGTGAAACTTGGACCAGTTGCAGCCCTTTCTATAACCATTTCATAAAAAAAAATATAAGCAAATTGAACAATTTTAATTTATAACGATATTTTTTTATATGCCCCCTTAAATTAATCTAAGTACTTGACAAAAGAGGTTACTAATTACAGGTACTTTAATACATGAATTACTCTAAATTGATTATTTAATTACAAGGAGAAGCTGGTGATCCTTGCTTACACACCTCTGCTCTAATTACTCAGGGATGAACCCTTTCATACTTTCCAAGGCAGAACTACCACTCCACTGCATGGTTTCGTACAAAGGCGTATCCACGCTACCTTCAGTACAAACCACCTGTCTTAAACTGCTTCGACTGTTACATTGGAATTTAGTATCACGTCATTTCATGCAAAAGTGAAGGAGCATAGGAGACCACCCTGACTCCCATTATGACCGTTCCTCAACAACTTCCAATCACTTTACAAAGTTTAATGAGACTAGCCCAAAGCATCTAGCCTCTAATGTTGAACAGATTAACATTCTTTTTCAATAGATATATTTATCTATAAAATACAGTGTCTGTTTTTGTCTTGTCTGTCGTTTGTCTGAATTAGGAAGTGAAATGCCTGGGGCTACACTGATCCAACGTTGCATAGTGAATGCAATGGGTAGGTGCGAAACATGGACGGCTCGATGTTAGCATATTCCTGCGAGTACAACGTGGCATGGTTTGATAGTTAATCCCATTATGATTCTGCTACAGATTACTGGCTTCCCACCAGCCCTACCCTCTTCCTCAGAAGATTTTTTTTATATTTTCACTATAATGTTAAACACTGCATTAATCTTAGGAAATTTTTTACAAAAATTCTACTCATGTTTTGCCTTTATAGGAGCAATAAACTTTTGATGACGTAAATTTTTATGAAACTCCCAGGATACCTCTCTCCAATGAGCCCTGAACATGCCCAAGTTCTCACTGAGAGACTGAGACACAGTATCAACCCAGGCACAGCAGTGTACACTTTATAAAATAAAGTAATCACTTGGCACATAATTTAAGCCTTATTAGTAATAGTAGGCATCCTTCAGTCTCGGGGGACTACGGAGTTGCACTCTGGTTGTCAGTCCTAGTGCAGCGTCTGGTGTGACTCTTGAGGCCAATCCCAGAATGGCAGTCCATCCCACACTGAACACAAGCGAAGTCTGATTCTGTTCTGTCTTCTTGGCTACTGACTTTCCTTCTCTGTCCCTTTGCCTCCGATTGATTGGCAAGTGTCTCCTCAAACCTGGAAAGACCTTTCTGAACAGACTGCCCCCAGGCTGATCGGTCCGCAGCCAGTGTTTTCCACGTGACAAGATCGACATCCATGGCTTTCAGGTCCCTCTTGCACTCGTCTTTGTACCATTGCTGGGGTTTGCCTGTTGGACTTTTTCCCATCATCAGCTCTCCGTACTCCTGTATGCAGAGGATCCTTGGGGATCCTGCCATCGCCCATTAGCATCACGAGCCCGAGCCAGCGTATTCGTCTCTGTTTCAGCAGGGGATTCTAGCTATTCCCAGGATGCTGTTGTTTTCCACCTTGTGCTGCCAGGTGATGTCCAAGATGTGTCGGAGGTAGTGCATGTGGTAGGCATTCAGTGTATCTTCCTGTCGGGCACGGAGTGTCCAGGACTCACTGCCATATAAGAAAGTGCTCAGTACGCAGCCTCTGTAAACCTGGATCTGTGTATACTCGGTCAGGTTATTGTTGGTCCACACTCTCTTTATCAGGCTGGACATGGTTGTAGATACCTTACCAATGCGTTTGCTGAGCTCCATGTCAAGAGAGAGAGGGAGTCAAAAATTGTGAAGCTCAGGTACACGAAGTATGGATGACTTCCAGTTTGTAATCAGAGATTCCGATTTTTGGTGGGGAATCCATACCTTGTCCCATGACCTGTGTTTTCATCAGGCTGCTAGTGAATCCGAAAGGCCTGGCAGGCTTTGCTGAAGCGGGTCATGAGCTGTTGGAGGTCTTCAGCTGAGTGGGCAGTCACTGCTGCGTCGTCAGCGAAAAGGAAGTCGTGCAAACTGCTCAGCTGTCTGGCAAGGTTGAAGAGCTTTCCATCAGATCTGGTCTGGGGGTAGATGCCTTCCGTGGCAGAACCAGGACGCAGTCCTGCTTTACTCTGCTTCAGATGTTGAAGGCGTCTGATGTTGAGCAGTCAAAGACCACTGTGTCCTTGTTTTTGTGGCCATAGCTGGTGATGCTGAAGAGTCTAGGTGGGCATCCAATCTTGGGGAGGATCTTAAACAGGCCATCCCTGCTGACGAGAGTGAAGGCCTTCGTCAGATCTATGAAGGCTATGAAGAGTGGCAGCTACTGTTCCATACATTTCTCCTGCAGTTGTCTGAGGGAAGAGACCATGTCGATGGTGGACCTGTTGGCGCATCCGCACTGTGATTCTGGGTAGATTCCCTCTGCAAGTACTTAGAACCTCTTCAATGTAACTCGAGCAAACAGCTTTTCGACAATGCTGAGGAGGGAGATGCCACTGTAATTGTTGCGGTTGCCCCTGTCCCCTTTATTCTTGTACAGTGTGATGATGTTGGCGTCCCTCATGTCCTGTTGCACCTCTCCTTCTCTCCGGCAGATACAGAGGATTTCAAGCAGCCCCATGAGTAGGTTACCTCTGCATCACTTCAAGGCCTTGGAAGGAATGCCGTCTCTTCCAGGAGCTTTGCCAGAAGCAAGGGAGTCTAGGGCCTCGCTGAGTTCTTCGAGGGTCGGTTCGCTGTCGAACACAGGCAGGCACTCGAAAGCGCTCAGGGCGTTTTCGGTGACCACATTCTCCCTGGCATATACCTCAGAGTAGTGCTCGACCCAGCGCTTCAGCTGCAGTGTCTGGTCCTGAATCACCTCGCCAGTGGGAGATTTCAGGGAGGCGGTCTTCTTCTGGATTGGGCCGAGGGCTTGCTTGATGCCGTCATACATTCCCTTTACATTGCCTGTATCTGCTGCAGTCTGTATCTGGGAGCAGAGCTACAGCCAATAGTCATTGGCACATCGCCTGGCGCTCTGCTGCACTTTGCAGCGGACGGCCCGAAGGATCTGTAAGTTGTGCTGACTTGGGCAGGCTTTGTAGGCTTCTAAGGCGTTTTTCTTCTCTTCGATGACTGGTGTCATTTCTTCCGAATGAGCCTCGAACCAGTCTGCCGATCTGATGGTCTTCTTCCCGGAGGTTGACATAGCATCGTTGAACACTGCGTCTCTGAAGTGCTCCCATCTTTTGCGGACGTTTGAGAGGCACTCCGTAAGAAGCTCTTTATTTGTTATGTGAGCTTGGTCCATATTACCACCCTTTGGAACCCTTGGAACCTAAACCTTATTATCATTACTGTTAACCTCTTTACAGGAATTCAAGTGAGAGAGTCAGTCATCTGGAGGAAGAAACCTTCCTGCACAATGAATGTACCATAAAGACGAGATGAACTAGTGAAAATTTTGTGATTATTTGTCTAATGAATCTTTCATCCGGTGTGTCTGAAATCCTTCCTGAGGCGGATTGGTTGTTCTTGATTGAATGAACAGAATTTCTTCCATTTGATGCCTCTGTTTGTCTAAAAGTCATCTCCAAACTTTCCTATGGCGTCTGAATCCTTCGCCACGAGTGCCATGGGGCGCTACTTCCCTCCCCAGAGCTAAACCTTCTTTCCTGGAAGGTTTAAATTACCCTTCCCAGAGGTCACAATCTTCCTCACCATCTTCATCACCACCAATAACTTAGGTCTCCCTTACTGCAGGCGGACCCGGGCTGGCTGATCCCGTACCCGCCCCAGGAGGACCCGGAGACGGGCCTGGAGACCGCGGTCCTTGGCCTCCGCTTTCCCCTGCGGCCAAGACTACTGCAGGGAGGAGCCGTCTCGGTCAAGTGCACGGCGGCCATCTTTGACCTCTACTCGGCCAGCACCGAGGCGCTCATACCCGCCGACCTTCCTTACCACGCCTCCATCATGGAGGGCCGGGCTGCTGCTGGCCGAGGTGGGTGGTGGGGCCTGGTGGGTGGTGGGCCCCTGCTGCTGCTGGCCGAGGTGGGTGGTGGGTCCTGGTGGGTGGTGGGCCCCTGCTGCTGCTGGCCGAGGTGGGTGGTGGGCCCCTGCTGCTGCTGGCCGAGGTGGGTGGTGGGCTTCTGGTGGATGGTGGAGCCTGGTGGGTCGTGGAGCCTGGTGGGTGGTGGGCCCCTGCTGCTGCTGGCCGAGGTGGGTGGTGGGTCCTAGTGGGTGGTGGAGCCTGGTGGGTGGAAGGCCCCGGTGGGTGGTGGGTCCTAATGGTGGTGGGCCCTCATGGGTGGTGGGCCCCTGCTGCTGCTGGCCGAGGTGGGTGGTGGGTCCAGGTGGGTGGTGGGTCCAGGTGGGTGGTGGGCCCCTGCTGCTGCTGGCCGAGGTGGGTGGTGGGTCCTGGTGGGTGGTGGGCCCCGGTGGGTGGTGGGCCCCGGTGGGTGGTGGGCCCCGGTGGGTGGTGGGCCCTGGTGGGTGGTGGGCCCCTGTTGCTGCTGGCCGAGGTGGGTGGTGGGCCCTGATGGGTGGTGGGTCCTGGTGTGTGGTGGGCCCCGGTGGGTGAGGGGGCCCCGCTGGCTGGTGGGTCCCAATGGTGGTGGGCCCCACTGGGTGGTGAGCCAGGTGGGTGGTGGGCCCCGGTGGGTGGTGGGCCAGGTGGGTGGGGAGTCTAGATGGATGGTGGGCCCCGGTGGGTGGTGGGCCCAGGTGCGTGGTGAGCCCTGGTGGGTGGTGGGCCCTGGTGGGTGGTGGGCCCCGGTGTGTGTTGGGCCCCAGTGGGTGGTGGCCCTGGTGGGTGGTGAGCCCTGGTGAGTGGTGGGCCCCGGTGGGTGGGGCTTGCGAACTTCAACATGGGTACCATAGAACAAAAAGTCTTAGTCGACATGAACTTGAAACCGGCCATATGCTGCAGGTATGTTGACGACATTTTTACACAGGTACCTGATGTCAGACATCTGCAGGAGCTGAAGGAGGCATTTGAGCGGAATTCCGTGTTGCGTTTCACTTACGAGATGAAGAAGGATGGGAAGCTGCTCTTTCTAGATGTAACAGTCATGGAAACGAGCGGAGGTTTCCACACTGCAGTCTACACTAAGGAAACAAACATAGGAATGTGCCTCAATGCCAACAGTGACTGCCCAGACAGGTACAAGAGGAGTGTCGTTAACGCTTATGTCGACCGTGTTCTCAGCCACAGCTCAGGATGGAAGCAAGTCGATGAAGAACTCTGTAGGGTAAGACAGGTCTTAGTCAACAACGGCTTCTCCAATGGTTTCGTTGAAGACATCATAAGAAGGAAGGTGAAACGCCATGCAACCTCTGAAGAGTCAACTAACACAACACCTGTACCCCCTATTAGACTATTTTACAGGAACTTCTTTTCCACAGCTCATAAAACGGAGGAAAGGGTCCTGAAAGATATTGTTAATAGAAACGTTATCCCTACAGACAAAAATCAGATGATACAATTGACGATCTACTATAAAACCAAGAAAACGGCCAACCTACTCATGAGAAACTCTCCAGACACAAAGCAGACCGCTTTAAAAGAGACCAATGTCGTCTATGCCTTCAAATGCCCACTTGGGGACTGTAAGCCTCAAAGAATTCAGTATATAGGCAAGACAACAACATCTCATTCCAGGCGATTAACGATGCATTAGCAACAGGGCTCCATTAAGGAACATATAATCTCTTCCCACAACCAGACCATTACCAGAGAAGTCTTAACAAAAAACACGAAAATCATCGATAGATACAGCGATAGCAGGTGGCTTGATATCTGCGAGGCATTACACATTAAGAAGTCGATACCAGCAATCAACAGCCAATAAATGCACAACTATATTCTACCCACTTCAAGACTCCGCTCCAATATAGAAGCATCAAGAAATATGGGCCAATAGGCCCTTTGCAGTTACTTCCATTCTTCCCTTTAACTTACAAAATATTATACACATTGTTTCGTGTTCTGTCTTGTGTTGAAAGTTTGTTTTCACCTCATCCAAAACTGTTGTAACATATCACCTCACCCAAATGCAGGTATAAAATCAAAGCTGTTTAAACTCTGTTTAGTGTTTGCAAGTTATAGTTGTGTGTGTGTAATGTAAAGTCTTTGAAAATGTAATAAGTTATTACGAAACGCATTCAAGTGTCGCGTCAGACTAGAAATAAAAATGAATTTTGGAGAATTGATTTTTCAATTACCATTACCATCAACAGTGAAAAGAAATATAAGAAATATTGAGAAAATTCGTGTTAGAATTATTAATCTTACTTTTTCTGTCATATTCAATATTATATATATATATATATATATATATATATATATATATATATATATGTTATATATATATATATATATATATATATATATATATATATATATATATATATATATATATATATATATATATATATATATATATATATATATATATATATATATATATATATATATGTTCGATACATTGGTTATCCATGGGTAAGGAACAACGTGAGGTAAGAAACCAACATTATCCTCAAGAACCATTTGTGGAACCCTTAATCAGTAAGTGATTCTTCACATGGTATATTATTTGCTCTGGTCTCATTGGATCCATAAAGTTTCCGACTATTGATGTCAAACTTATTAGACGAAAATTAAATAGATTAAAGTAATTTCGATTTTGTATATAAGAGTCTAATTTGCGTGTTTGTGTTCACGTGGAGTTATTCCTGTTGGAGTGACTGGTCAAAAATTATGACCAAAGATTTAACCATTCTGTTGTTTAATTCACTTAATATCCTCAGAAAGAGATTATCATGTCCTGATGTTGTGTTTGTTTTTGGTGTTATTCAGCTCAGCTCACATGAAGCTCACTAATGGTAGAAGTACGAAGATGGTGTTCTAACATTTCTAGAAGAAGTGCTGGTTAAGGAATGTCTTTTCCCCTAAACGTTTTCGTGTGAATAAGAGAAGCGAATCAAGTGAAAGACACTGCAAGATTGTGTTGTAATAATTGATACGGTTTGATTAACTATTGCCTCAACAATGCCTGAACGTAGAGTAATATATGTTCTATGTTGGTTCCAGGGTGTCCGACGGCAGTCTCAAGTGTCATCCCAGGAGCGGCCTCGCTGGTGCTCCTTCTGGCACATTAGAGACTCCAGCCTCCAGTAACCCAGCACTCCACGAGTGTGGAGCTGAGGTCAGGAGTGCTGAGTGGGAGTTATGGTGTCATGAACCTCCACACCATATCAACATGTGGGTTAGGATTCGCTTGGTAGTTTCGACAACTGAAGGAGAAAGTATATATATATATATATATATATATATATATATATATATATATATATATATATATATATATATATATATATATATATATATATATATATATGTCGTACCTAGTAGCCAGAACGCACTTCTCAGCCTACTATGCAAGGCCCGATTTGCCTAATAAGCCAAGTTTTCCTGAATTAATATATTTTCTCTAAATTTTTTCTTATGAAATGATAAAGCAACCCATTTCATTATGTACGAGGTCAATTTTTTTTTATTGGAGTTAAAATTAACGTAGATATATGACCGAACCTAACCAACCCTACCTAACCTAACCTAACCTATCTTTATAGGTTAGGTTAGGTTAGGTAGCCGAAAAAGTTAGGTTAGGTTAGGTTAGGTAGGTTAGGTAGTCGAAAAACAATTAATTCATGAAAACTTGGCTTATTAGGCAAATTGGGCCTTGCATAGTAAGCTGAGAAGTGCGTTCTGGCTACTAGGTACGACATATATATATATATATATATATATATATATATATATATATATATATATATATATATATATATATATATATATATATATATATATATATATTTGGATGTACTAACGTCTCACAGTGTTCACGAGACACATGACATCAGTGATATTCTGAACTCTGGTCAGCAACGGTGAAAATGACGTCTTAGAGCAGCCAGGATTCAATATCCTAAATAAAGTCTTTATTCAACTCTAGAAAAATTTTCTGTGAGGTGGATAAGACGAACTAAGTTTCAAGAAGTATTATGTAAAGCGAATGAACATTGCTCAAATATAAACACAGACTCACTATGTTCTGCATAGTCTTAAGTCGAGCCAAAGACTACACATTTCCTGAAAATGTTTTGAAGATGAATGTGTAAATGGTTGCCATGCCAAGAGAGTCTACCTGACCTGCTCATTGTGTCCAGACAATGTCTATGTACTCCACATTATAACTAGTGTACATAATTAGTGCCAACCCAGACCACATTAGTGTGATAAATACAACCTTCTTTTGATATATTCTGACGTGAAGCGTGTGATAAAGTTTAGTCTCAGTAGCTTTATTCTGCCATATAATACTTGAGTGTTTTACTGAAAATTATGTTTTATGTAATACATATGCTTATATATATATATATATATATATATATATATATATATATATATATATATATATATATATATATATATATATATATATATATATATATATATATATATATATATTCACAAAACTGTTAAATATATTCTCTGAGCTATTTCAGTGTAAAAACAGATAACACAATGCTGAAGTTTTGACGATTTACAAATCTTGAACTATCTAGAACATTTAAGTGCTTTAGAGTACTTATTTATGTGTTAACAGTTCACATAACACATAACATGCCAAAATTCTCTTCACATATCACAAAGTACAGCATGCAGTTCCTCTCTGGAGAGCAACACTCTGTCGCTTGAACAGGAAAGCGATTACTTTGGGCCTATTTTCTGTGAGCAAGTGAAGACTACACCCATTGGGCAAGTTTTCCTTATATATGTTTGTTTATTTAAGATTTATAGCAGTACGTTTTTAGGCTCAGTTTAAGTCTCTGTTGAACAATGCATTTCTATATATTTTGTCATCCAGCGAGAGTTTACATACTTCAAGTGTTCATATAATTAACAGAATACCAATTGTTACGCAGCAAACACAAAGCTTTACCACAATGACCCACAACATTGCTATTGTGTCTGCATCATTGTTTCAATTGTACTTATGCACTGCAGCCTCCAGACCTCTGACAAGGTTGTGGAACATTGCGGTAAGGTTGTGGGTGTACATGTGGAGCCTCGGAGTGGGTGAGAGGCAGCGAGGAATGTGTTCTTCGCTACAACACTACACTGTGACGGCTGTGGTTGATAATGACAACTTTCTGCACCCTACACTGACCTGCGGTTATGCTACAACGTTTATATAAACTACATTGAAACAATCTTGAGTTTACGGATCCCACTGAGAGTACTGAGATATCAGGGGTCACACTGACAGTACTGAGATATCAGGGGTCACACTGACAGTACTGAGATATCAGGGGTCACACTGAGAGTACTGAGATATCAGGGGTCACACTGACAGTACTGAGATATCAGGGGTCACACTGACAGTACTGAGATATCAGGGGTCACACTGACGGTACTGAGATATCAGGGGTCACACTGACAGTACTGAGATATCAGGGGTCACACTGACGGTACTGAGATATCAGGGGTCACACTGACAGTACTGAGATATCAGGGATCACACTGACAGTACTGAGATATCAGGGGTCACACTGACAGTACTGAGATATCAGGGGTCACACTGACAGTACTGAGATATCAGGGGTCACACTGACAGTACTGAGATATCAGGGGTCACACTGAGAGTACTGAGATATCAGGGGTCACACTGAGAGTACTGAGATATCAGGGGTCACACTGACAGTACTGAGATATCAGGGGTCACACTGACAGTACCGAGATATCAGGGGTCACACTGACAGTACTGAGATATCAAGACTTAGGCCTATAGTATCGTACTCCATGTACATGAAAAATGGAGTACCCAGGAACATGAGAGTTTCTGCCCCCCCCCCCAAGCACCTCTCTCCATCCTGACCTCTGCCACTGCCTCCCCCCCCCCCCACCCCCCCTGCCTCCTCACTGGTCTCCCCAGTCATACATTAAACTTGAGAAATAACATTTCAGGACAGGATTAAAGCTCCAATTGGGCAGCAGTTAGTTGCTTCCGGAATCCTTCGTTATTGTGGCTGCTCACACCTTGGATGCTAGGCTACCGTCTCTCCCTCTGGGGTAATATTTGTGAAGTAATGACAGACAGGGAATTAGATCACCGGTTCAACTATGTTCCAGTAGAATCCGAGACCCTCGGTCCATGGGGAGAGAGAGCGCAAGGAGGTTTCTTAAGGATCTTGATTCCAGGCTCATTGACACTACAAGAGACCCTAGAGTGGCAAGTATTATCTTCCAGCGCCTCAGTGTCGCGATCCAGAGGGGGGAATGCCCGCTGCGTCCTCGGTTCCTGCCCGGCGTCGGAGGAGTTCGAGGAAATCTACAGCCTCTAGGAAACAAACTTCCCTTTATTTCCTCTTAATGTCCACTTTTTTTGTAGCCAATCAGATATGTAACTGTGTAACCTTGTATAATAAAGTGTACACAATAAATAATACAAAGAGGGGTGGTATGAGAAGTAAGTAAGTAATTATCAAAAGAAGGCACCAAACTGGGAAGGCTATGTAGCACCATCATATATGCGGAATAATCAGAGGGCGCTAAATATCACCATGGATGCCAATACGAGAACAAAAACGCATAAAGCGAACGATATCAAAAGTATCCGAGTCACCAAGAATTCTATTGAGGGACAGGTGACCGCGAGGGGCGGTTGGAAAGCAAGATACACGCTCGTCCTGGAAGTCAGGACATTCAAGAAGGACATGCACGACCGTAAGAGGGACAATGCAATCAGGACAATAAGGAGCAGGGCAGCGCTCCATCAAGTGACCATGGGTTAAGCTAGTATGGCCAATACGTAACCTCGCCAGAGCTGTTTCCCATCGTCGGTTACGGTGGTAGGAGGACGGCCACGAGGAAACACAACATTTAAGAGTACGTAGTTTGTTACCAGTAACAGACGACCAAGAAGCCTGCCAACGGGTAAGGATGGAGGAATGGATAACCGGGTAAAAGTCGGAATATGGAATACCTTTACGAGAGATGGGACAAGAGCGGACAGCTTCCTTGGCGGCAGCATCCGCACGCTCATTTAAAGACACACCAATATGGCTGGGAACCCAACAAAACTCAACCGACTTAAATTTACTGTGAACAAGAAACAGCCAATGCTGGATCTCGACAACTACTGGATGAACCGAATTAAAGGACCCGAGAGCCATGAGGGCACTACGAGAGGCAACAACAACTACAAAGGAAGACTGACAACGAGAAAGCAGGAGACAAAGAGCATAGAGAAAAGCATAAAGCTCCGCTGTGAAGATGCTAGTCTCCGGAGGTAAGGACACATATAAGTGCGATCAGGAAAAGCAACAGAGTAGCCAACACCGTCCGCAGACTTAGACCCATCGGTGAAGACAGAAACGGAGTGGGAGTGAGAAGAAAAGTGCTCAAGGAAAAGGCGTTTTAGAACCGTAGGAGGGGTAAAAGCTTTAGTGATGCAGGTCAAGGATGTACAAAACCGCGGAAGGGGGACTCTCCACAGGGGCAAAGAAGGAACAACACGAGGAGAAACATTAGAAATACGAACGGAAAGAGAAAAAGAAAGAGAATAAGCGAAATAACCGGACAGAAAGAGGGAGGTGGTGAAGAGGAACAGGAACTGCAGGAGGGGTAAAAGTAAAGCCCGACAGAGGCGAGAGGAAGGATGTTGTAAGGACCGCGCAAGATAGCGAAGACAGTAGCGATCACGGCGGTCTTGGAGAGACAGGAAGCCAGTGTCAACATACAAGCTAAGGACAAGAGTCAAACGAAAGGCACCAGAACTGAGACGCAACCCAGTATGGTGCAAAGCATCAAGACGGCGAAGAGTAGAAGGAGAAGCAGACGAGTAAGCAGGGCAACCATAATCGAGCTTAGACAGGACGAGAGAGGAATGTAAAGCAAGGAGAGTGCGCCTATCCACTCCCCAAGAAGTATGGGGCAAGACCCGAAGGAGGGTAAGGGCCTTAGAGCCCTCAACACGGAGGTAAGAGATATGGGGAGACCAAGACAAATGAGTGTCAAGGAATAACCTCAAAAGCTTCGCGGAATCTTTGTACTCAAGGGGATGACCATAAAGTGACAAAGAGGGACGAAGAACGACCCGTTTCCTAGTAAAAGTCATGGCACAAGTCTTAGAAGTAGAGAACTTGAAGCCATGATCAGTGGCCCAAGACGACATGGCATCAATCACAAGTTGAAGCCGGCACTGAAGGAGAGGTGAATCATCACCCTGACAGCAAAGGGTAAGATCATCGACATAGAGAGCGAAGAAGACACCTGA